CTCAGCAGGGGTCCCAAGCAGATGCTGAGACTCATAGCCAAATGTTGGGCAGAGTGGAAGAAATCTTATGAAAGAAGGGAGAGATAGAAAGACCTGGAGGGGACAGGAGCTTCACAAAGAGAGCAACAGAACCAAAAAATCTGGGCACAGGGGTCTTCTCTGAGACTAGTATTCCAACCAAGGACCATGCATGGAGATAAGCTAGAATCCCTGCACAGATGTAGCCTATGACAGCTCAGTGGCCAAGTGGGTACCCTAGTAAGGGGAACAGGGGCTGTCTCTGGCATGAACTCAGTGGCTGGCTCTTTGATCACCTCCCCCTAAGGGGGGAAGAAGCCTTACCAGGTCACAGAGGAAGACAATGCAGACAGTCCTGATGAGACCTGATAGACTAGGATCATAGGGAAGGGGAGGAGGACCTCCCCTATCAGTGAATTTGGAGAAGGGCATAGGAGGAGATGAAGGAGGGAGGGTGGGATTGGGAGAGGTTAGGAATGGGGCTACAGCTGGGATACAAAGTGAATAAATTGTAATAAATAAGAAAATTAAAAAAATGTAAGTATTTTCACTATAAGTAAGTGATAATTGTTTGGGGGTATAAATATGTTTACTATATTGAAACATTATACAATGTATAACATATACTAAAGCATCACATGGTACCTCAGATATACAGTACATTTTTTAATCAGTTACAACTTTAAGAACTGATCCTCAAATTCAAGTGTTAACAGGTATATCTTCCATCTTCTTCATTTGGTTTGTATGTGTGTGTGTTCTGCGTTGTAAGTGGAGATCAGAAGACAACCTAGGATTTTGTCTTCAGAAACTTCACTTACCTGCTTTGAGACAGAGTCTTTCATTGGTATGTTAAGTTAGACGGGCAGCCGTGAGAGCCTTGGACCTCTTGTTTCTTTCTCTTCACAGCTGGGATTACAAACATGATCCTTTATGCCTGGCATGGTTTTCTTTTTTTATGTAGAATAATTGATCTATCACGATTCCCAACAACCAAATGAAACCTGGCTTATCTACATGTATCAGTGTTCAAGTAAATAGTCTAGTTAGAAATGACCCCTGTGAGGTCCCTCCTGACAGCATTCTCGGACAATGGCTGTGCTTCATCCTCACATGGATATGAAGATGGAAGGAGGAGAAGTGGAGCATGTTCTGGGTATTGCGTGTAGAGAACTGAGCAAAAGTATCCACTTTGGGCTGGACAGGATCTGAGTCAAGGATTCTCTGCTTTCTGGCTTTGTGGTATCAGAGGCGGCATTCAGCTTTCCCATGTGAGCTGCAGTATCATTGAAGTGGGAATGACACCCCCTTCTTAGTTTCTGGGGAAAGGGTACACTGAAGGTACTTCTGACGTACCTGGCTCAGTGCAGGTGCTCGATGAGTATTGCTTTCCTTCCCTTTCAGTTGATAAACACTCTCTTTGAGGGCTACAGGCAAAACCATTAAATATTTATTAGTTGCATTATTCAAGAAAACTGAGTCTGGAAAAGGCACCTTACTTCAGATCTTTTGACATAACAATAATCATTCCCATTTGTCTTTCTTGCAAATCTATATTCTATGCCTGGTGCTGGGTTTATTTATGATGTTTGTGTGAGATTCTCAGTTTAGGTTCTTGACTGAACCTAAACTCTCTTTCAGGTTTTATGGAAGGTATACATTATTAATTTTTGGTGGTGTGATTTGAGGCCTACGTGACTGAGGCCTTGAACTGTACTAGTGTAATGGGATCCATCAGAGGTGGATAGACAATGAAGACATAAGCCTTGGTTAAGACTTTTGGGACATGATTGGGTGGCTTTCACACAGCATAATGAAAATGAGGTTTTAACACTGGAAAGCATTCCCCACCTGTCCCTTCCCCTCCAAAAAAGCAGAGCAGAGGCCTTGAGGTGGCTGAGTTGGCAAAGTGCCTGCTATGCAAATATGAGGACCACAGCATCTGAATAAAACCCAGGTGTGAGGGCATGCCATGTTGGTGCTGGGGAAGGGGACACAGGAGGATCTCAGAGCTTGCTGGCCAGACAGTCTAGACAGCTGGTGAGCTCCAGGTTCACTGAGGGATCTCATCTCCAAAGAATAAGTTAGTGAGTGACAGAGGAAGACAGCTCTGTGCTCATGTCTGGTGACCTTTGGCCTCCGCACATACATGCACACGCGTGCACACGTAACCACATGTACATGTACAAGCTCACAGGTAGCTCTGGGTTAATAAGTAATTCTGTCATTCAATGCTGATTCAAACCGTTGGCAAAAATATCTGTGTACATCCCATGCAGCTGATGTTAAATTCCGGGGTGCTAGAGTTTATGTTAGAAGCCATAGCTAGCTCCATCATAACACTTCATATTCCTGGAGGCAAGGAAGATTTAGACCGAAGACTTAGACAGGGAATGTTGTTACCCTGTCACCTCGTCCATCTTATTTGCATGCAAAATCTATTCCACAACTTGTTTTTGTATCACCTCTGAAATAGAAGAGATATTTTTGCATATTTAAGCAGTTATTACATAAAAGAACAGAAAAAACGGGCAACAGAAAACTCTATGTAACCTGCCAAGGCTAAATAAAATATTCACTGTGTGGATGTTTATAGAACAGATCACTTATCCCTGTCCTAGAAGGCTTGAGTGATCTCATTGGTATCCACATTGAAGAGAATAAGGACTTTCCAGTTGTCCTCTGATTTGTGACAGCCGCTAGGCACCTGTTTGAACCAAGCTTAAAGAGGGATGTTGAGGACAAATAGCAACATGCTTCATTATTTGCGCCTTGCTCTCTCTCCGTTGGGTCATTCTGACTTCGCCCAGGATATGGAGTCTCAGTCTTCCGAGTAGTTCATGCCTCTGTCACTTACTCCGTGAAGCTGCTTGTGCCTGAGATGAACGATAGCTGCTTCTTCTGCACCCTACCTGAAGCAGGATGGCAGGACCCTCTCAGGAAGGGTCTCTGAGAGGATTTGTCTTCCTCTGTTCATGCTGAAGCTGCAGACACATTTCAGGGTTATTTGGAGTTGGTACGCAAGGACAAGCTGGAGAAGGGCACAGCTGTGGAACCACAATGTATAGGCTTTGGGGGAGAGAAGGGAGAGAATTAGACCCCGAATGATGGGCATAGTTTGTGGGAGTAAGGGAACACCCCATAGAGTGGAGGTATTCCAGTTGCTGAGAGATGGGACTGGGTCATCAATGGGGACAGTGTAGTGGCCATATTGAGTTAGAATGTAGGTCTCCAGTGGTCACCGAGGAGTCATTCAGGCTGATAAAAAAAGCGATCAGGTCCGGTGAAATGGTTTGTTGGGTAACAGGGGGCAACTATTAATCCTGATGATCCGAGTTCCCTCACCAGACCTACATGCCAGAAGAGAGAGAACTGAGTCTTTCACGCCCCCTGACCTCCACACATGCACTGTGGTGCCTGTGCACCCCTACCCCCAGGTAAAATTTCAACCATGTAGCAAAAAACAAAACAAAACAAAAACCCCAAAAAAGTCACTGTGTGTGAGGGTGAGTGTGCGCAATGATGGTTAACGAAACTGATGCTACAGCCATGTCTGCGTAACAGTTCAGTCAAAAATGGGCTACATGTATGATGGTGGCGCCAGGAAACTTACTGATATCAGAGTGATTTTTGTTTGTGTTGGTCCGCTTTATGGTGTTTAAACATCGAATGACCACGTCCCTGTATCACATGGCTGTCGCTGGTAAACCTAACCCTAACAAAGACAGACATGGGCTAAGAACATTAAAGGAGCCGACCCCCCTCATTAAATCCTTACAGCTGTGCAAAAAAGTTCTCACCCTCAATTTTCAAGAGGGTTAATTAGGCATAGAGAGGCTGATATAGTATGCCTAAGATTCCGATATTAATAACTGGCAGAACCAAGCTGGTCTGACCGGGTGCCCGAGTTTAAACTTCTGTGTTCCTGGAATAGACTCAGCAGAAAATATTTTAACTGGATGGAAAGGTGATGAATGAAAAAGAAATCCATATCCCGCCTTTCCAGAAACGACCACTTTGGGAGAACATTCTGCTAAGCATCTATCTGTACACATAGCAATGCATATGCATTTTGTAATATTGAGGCCACCTATGTCCTTAAGTTTTTATATAAATGGCTGTATACTCTTAAACCCTCGATTTTCTCCCACTTAAAAAAATCATCTTCTGTGAATCTTGGCATCTGCCTCATTCCTTTGTTGGATGGACCCTTTTAGAGGACCCTCTATAGTAGGCTTCCATCCTATTCCACTTCTCCTGGTGTCTATCCTGCTTGCCATTCTGAATGAGGTTTAAGCATCCTCCCTAGGGTCCTCCTTGTTGTTTAGCTTCTTAGGCTGTAGATTTGGGCAGAGCACAGGGAGTCTTATGGAAGAAGGGGGCATAGAAGGACATGGAGAGGACGAGAGACCCATAAGAAGACCAACAAAGCTGAACAACCTGAGCCCACGGGGTCCTGCACCAACCAAGGACTATGCATGGAGAGGACCTAGACCCCCTGCTCAGATTAGCTGATTGGCAGCTCAGTCTCCATGTGGGTTCCTGAGTAAGGGGAGTAGGGGCTGCCTCTGTCGTGAACTTGAGTGCCTGCTCCTTGATCACCTCCTCCTGGAGATGTGGCCTTGCCAGGCCACAGAGGAAGAGGATCCAGGCAGTCCTGATGAGACTTGATAAGCTATGGGCAGATGGCAATAGTGGAGGAACCTCCCCCCCCTTTCAGTGGACTAGGGGAAAGGAATAGGGGGGAAGAGGGAGGGAGAGTGGAACTGGGGGGGCTTTAATCGTGATAAATTATGAATAAATTGTGAAAAAAAGAAAAAATCATCTTTTGGTTTTTATGGGTGTGTGGCATGCCGCTGGATGCATGGCATACCTTCTTCTGCTGCACTAGACCCTTGCAGGTCCTTGAGCAGTATAGAAATGTATTGGAAGCTTAAACATATCCTTCTAACCCATTCTTGTGCCTTCCCCTCTCCTTGCAGCATGCGCTCGACGCTGACAATGCAGGAGTCAGCCCAGTAGGAAATTCTTCTCACAGCAGCAGTCACTGGGACCTGGGAAGTGCCTTCTTCTTTGCCGGAACTGTCATCACGACCATAGGTACCCACTCCTTTATTAATATCTCTTCCTCTGCAGGCCCTCCTGAGAAATGCTTAGACAGAACTTGTCTCCCTAAGATGTGGGACCAGCGTCTTCCCACTTGTCAAGTGAATGCAGCTGTTGTGGCTGCTCTCAGTAGAAAGCAAAGCTATGTGAAGGTTTCGGAATGAACAGCTGGAGGGCATCTCAACTGAAGGAGCCTAATGTCGAGGCAAGAGTAGAGTGCATGGGTTGGTCAGTTGAGCCTGGATTGTTCCGATGCACTCAGATTCCATTTTAAGGACTGCAATTCTTGGTAGAGTTATTTATAGTGGTATGAAGATGTTCTACAAAGGTGTGTGTGTGGGGATGCCCCTCTTCAGCTTCTTTCTTTCTTTCTTTCTTTCTTTCTTTCTTTCTTTCTTTCTTTCTTTCTTTCTTTCTTTCTTTCTTTCTTTCTTTCTTTCTTTCTTTCAACTATTCCAGAGAAAATAAATAGCTTTTATCTCCTTTGTCTGACGTTTTCAATATTCACTTCTGTGGCTTTAAATATTAAACTTGCACAGCCACTTCTAGAATTTTCAGTCTTAGGGACTATTTCTCAACTTTCTCACTGCAAATGGAAGCACTGCTCTCTTCCTTCCTTCCTTCCTTCCTTCCTTCCTTCCTTCCTTCCTTCCTTCCTTCCTTCCTTCCCTCCTTCCCATTGCATTTGCAGAGGGCTCCTCTTCAGGTATCATTCTCTTCTTAGGATAGTTTAATTACATAAAACCTGAGTGTGTGCTGGAAGCTGACTCTTGCACATACTCTCTGTGGCTGATGCTCGGATGAACCATCATTGCTGCTTTCCTGCGACAGTGTATGCCTTATTTCATGTATTTAATTTTTATGTTATATATGTTATCCTCGGGTGTTGTGAGTTTCTGTCTTTGGTGTTACTTTATACTTATAATAGTATTAATAGCTTGAATGTTCTAGTTATTAGCCAGTATGCATAGATCTTGATTATGAATGATGAGATCTCCTTTCCTCGTCTTTCTCGGCCACATGAGCTTTGAATAATAACCATGGGTTCTTAGCTAGCTAGTCTGCAAGCACTTGTCCAGTATCTCAATTTCCTTTTGCATTACGTTCCAAGCATCAACCATTATACACAAGAGACAAGAATGCATGATTTATATTCTGTTCGCTCACCCTCATCTTCATACTTGCTCAGTGTTAAAGCCATTGGTGCATCTTGTCTTTTCCTATTAGTGTCCTTTATCATCACTTGTTTGGCTGGAAATCACCTTCAGAAGTTAAGCGTGGCTCCTGGAAATTCTGAGGGTGGTGGTGCTCATCTGTGCCTCTGAACTCTGAAGATGGAGGTGGGAGGAGGCTGGGAGATGGCTTTAGCCTTCCAGAGAGGAACTTTATTTTTGACTTTTTTATTGATTTATTATTTATGACAATTTATTCACTTTGTATCCCAGCTGTAGCCCCCCCATCTCCTCCCAGTCCCACCCTCCCTCCCTATTCTCCCCCATGCCCCTCCCCTATTCCACTGATAGTGGAGGTCCTCCTCCCCTTCCGTCTGGCTCCAACTTATCAGGTCTCATTAGGACTGGCTACATCATCTTCCTCTGTGGCCTGGTAAGGCTGCACCCCGCCCCCGCCCCAGGAGGAGGTGATCAAAGAGCTGGCCACTGAGTCCAGTTAGAGGCAGCCCCTGTTCTCCTTACTAGGGAGTCCACATGGAGACTGAGCTGCCTATGGTCTACATCTGAGCAGGGGGTCTAGGTCCTCTCCATGTATGGTCCTTGGTTGGCACATTGGTCTCTTCAGGTGGCCCTGGATCCGGATATTTGGCTCTGTTGATCTTGTAGATCTCCTATGTCCTCCAGTTCTTACTGTCTATTCTGATTATCTGTGAGGCCCAGCTGTTCCTTTTGAGAAGCTCTTAACTTTGGTTTATAGTATGGACAGTGAACTTCTTATGGGAGCATGTTTTAGAGGCTAAGGGTTGTTTTAGAGGTACACTTTTTTTTTTAATTTAGAATCTAATCAAACAGCCTATGATCTTCTAGACTAGTGAAATCAAGAAAGTTATGTGACATAAACATTTGGAATGAAAGAGAATTACCATTCTTACTGAGATTTGTATCAGTTGAGATCTTCAGGGAAGCAGCAAGATTATATGTGCATAGACAGGGAGGAGGGGAATTGGCTTCTGTAATCATGAGCCCAGGAAGTCCCTTGGCAGGTTCCTTGTAATGGAAGCTCAGGGATGCTGATGGTATAATTCTCAGACTTTGACCAAACTGCTGAAAATCCAGAAAGCCAGTGGTATGAATCCTGGTGACTACAGGCCAAAGAGGCTGAAGTTCTGATGTTCAAGGGTAGGAGAAGAGAATGAAATGGAGAGAGAGAGTGAGAGAGAGAGAAAGAGAGAGAGAGAGATGGGGAGAGACAGAGAGACAGATAGAGACACACAGAGAGAAACAGAGAGACAGACAGAGACAGAGACGCAGAGAGAGAGAGAGAGAGAGAAGCACAGAGACACACACAGAGTGAGAGAGAGCTCTTTTCTTTTTATTTTATTTTATTTTATTAATTACACTTTATTCATTTTGTATCCCCCCATAAGCCCCTACCTCCTCCCCTCCCGATCCCACTCTCCCTCCCGTTTCTGCATGCATGCCCCTCCCCAAGTCCACTGATAGGGGAGGTTCTCCTCTCCTTTCTGATCTTAGTCTATCAGTTCTCGTCAAAAGTGGCTGCATTCTACGCCTTCCCCTTTTTGTTCTATTCAAGCGCTCAGCCTATTAGATGGTCCTGTCCACACTGACCATGGGCCTTCCATACTTAATCTATCAACTCACATGATAATGCCCTGTGGAAACATCTAGAAACATTTTAACAGAAACACCCAATAACAATGCTTTACCAATTCTCTAGGTATTCATAACCCAGTCAGGCAAACACCTAACATTAACCATCAACTAACTCTCTTAATCTAATTAAGAAATATAGCAAGTAATTTTACATTCACAATTTGTAAATTCATCAAAACCAGCTATTGTCATAGTTCCAAGTGTTCATTAAGCATGTAGGTCTGTTCATTAAACATGGAGGTCTGTGACCTCCAGATCAGGTTAGGCTGTTGGAATTCACAGACTCACTACATCTAACAGAAAAACCATGTTGCCTGGACCCTTGTGGTGCTATAAACCTTAACCAACCCAAGGTCATTGCTGTCATCCATCAGAGAAGAATGACATCAGCTTAGAATGTGTCTGACAGTTTGGTTATGGGGATGAAGAAAAGCATCACACATTTTAAGAGACTTGTACAATCATTAAAGTTGAGAAAGTCTTTTCCATTTCAAAAAGTATACTTTGGAAAATAGTCTCAAGTACCAGTATTGGATCCATGAACTATTGGGGGATACTACATGTAACAGAAAGAAAAACCCCATTAATTTTCTTGTGGTATGAAATTGCAAAATTTTGTTTGATGAATTGAAAAAACAGTATCTATGCTGGGCTCTGAAATATTGCTATGATTCTCAGTTATGCACTGATAGTATTTATTAACCCTTACTTGGTTTTCCAGCAGCCACACAGTTTTTTTTTTAATTCACATTTGTCCTAACAACAGTATATCCATCCAACCCTCCTCTCCCATTTATGACCCCTACTTTCCCACTAATGACCCCTAGGCCCTGGAGAGAATGATATTATCTGCACAAAGAAATTTAGTCTGTGGCCAGAGTTATCAGTTCAAAGAAGGCCAACAAGAACTTCTTGGGATTTTGTTTGAACTTTTTGGAGGAAATGGCTTTCTCACTTTCTTACTGATGGTTAGCCTGGAGAAGGAAGAGCTGAGCCAGTACCCCTAATTGTCTTTCCTTGGTAGGTTGCTTTGTCTGGAGTTGAGCTAATTCTTCCAGAGTAAGGAAAGGGCTAGTGGTAAATGGGCCCTGCTCATGCCCTGTGAGCTCTGAAAGGAGCTACTTGCAAAATACTAAGAAACATAAGTTTTCTATTTTTTCCAGAGTCAGTGGGATTTTCCATTTTTTTTTGTTTAGGTTTAAGCTAGTCTGCACTAGATAATCTAGATATAATCTATAATCTAGATATTCCTAACCAGTGTGTACAGACTCAAGAGAGTTCATAGAGGGCCCATAAATAACCTTTGACCCCACAACCAGTGCCTGACTCTTCTGGCCACTGTAGTTGTCGTCTTTGAGCCACATGATCTTGATTCAAGTTTTAGGTTGAGCTGCCCTGATGGATGAACCTCTGGCTTCATGTGTCCTTGGCTTGGTTATTTGCAAGGCCATTCCCTCTTCATAAAAATGTTGGTCACTATGTCTGACCAATTGCGTGTAGGATCAGGAGCTCTATTCCAAACCATAAAGACGCTGGCTACCAATAGCCAACTACTACGAAACAAACATGCAGACAAAAACCAACAAAAATATAACCCATCACTCAAAGCCCACATCAGACAAACCCAGTCCCTGTTCTATGCAACTTATTGTGTAGAATATGCAACTAAAATGTTATTTCTCCCCCTTTTCTTTTACCTAAGACATAATGGATTGTAAGTTGAATACTATTTAGCTAAGTACAGTTAATTCTGGAGTAAAGGGCCTTTATAAAGCCATACAGTTAGAGAAGTTAAAAAAAACCTTGATACAAAGCAGGAAGTAATGAAATAAGAAACAATTTGCCATGTTTTAAAAAGTCAACTACTTCTGGTGAATTCATTGCAAGTCTTAGAACAAGGCTTACAAGCAATCTCAGGGCTTGGTCATTTTTAAGATGTTCCTGAGAAATATCACACTATCTAGAAGTCAGGGAAGTGGGGCAGTTATCATGGGAAGCTTTATCTCATTAACTGTGCAGTTCATATCCTGTTCTGCTTGCTCCAGGTCATGTAATTTGTAAGCTGATGTTGTTCACATTTCCCTTCGCTACAAGCAATGTTAGACTTTCAGCGTTCTTTCCAAAGCCTGTCACTGATGTCCCCCCCCC